AGTAGTAACAACAAATCAGCTCCTTAGGGTGTGGAGTACATATGAGCATCTCTGACCTGGGAAGAGGAAGGGGATTCCCATATTTATCCAACAGTGTGGCTCCAGCAGATGTGACCCAACGGCAGTGTTGAGCCAGCAGAGAGTTCCTGGCTGTGGTCGGGTTGTCTGTGGCTGAGCCATCTGCATTTTTCAGGGGGGAAAACTCATCCTCCCGGACAACCTCAAACGCAACAAAGTTCCTTCCAAATACAAGGGAGTAAATTTCTAATTAATTGCAAATCACCTATACAGTAAAAACAACATGTGTAAACACATACAAACTGAAAGATAATGTAGAGCAATTAATACCTTGAGAATTCGAAGACGTCAAAAACAAACTTCTCCATCTTTATGCCATTGGATTTGGATGGTTTGACTTGAACGCCTTGTGCGTCAACAAAGGGCACTTTCTTTAAGGCAACATGTTGCTTCAGCTGGTCTTTATATTTCCTAAAAGATGAAATATGTTAGCAGCACTAACCAAAATGGAATACCATAAAAATGGAAGGCTGGAATAACGGTTTTATACTCAAGGAGCAATGAAGTTCGATAGCTGTATAATTAAAATCTGGTTAATTTGGCAGTGAAAAACATGTTAAGACTTCTTCTTTGCCAAGTTGTCAGTTATCAGTAAACAAAGCACTGACTCATCCCTTCAGTTAAATAGCCTTTTATGCTCGAATGAATCATTGACCAGTGCTAACGCCGGTCTTAACAAACAAAGAAAAAAAAAGAAAAAGAGAGAGAGATCAGGTTCAAGGACTGGACTGAAAGTGACAAAGCAGCCAATGTCCACTGAAAAACTTAGAAAGCGTGGAGAACTACTGCTCAATTTAAAATATTACAACAAAGGCGAGCTCCTTTGAAGCAAAATATAAAGAAACTCAAGTAGTGTTTTAAGACTTTTGCATAGAACTGCACCACACACCTAAGCGTTGCTGCAGATCCCTAGAAAGAAATGGTAAATGGTCTGTATTTGTATAGCGCTTTACTAGTCCTTAAGGACCCCAAAGTGCTTTACACATTCAGTCATACACACATTCATACACTGGTGATGGCAAGCTACATTGTAGCCACAGCCACCCTGGGGCGCACTGACAGAGGCGGGGCTGCCGGACACTGGCGCCACCGGGTCCTCTGAACTCCCCAACAATCATTATGAACTGAGAATCACTGAACTATAGCAACTACTACTTTCTAGAGGTTTACGTGTGCTCACTAAAAACTAATTGAAGCTAAGATACCCCAACAGGCTGGGACAGTACACATTTATGCACTAATATATTGTTTTGGTCTATTTGTGGACTCTTTAACAAAGAGCACACACTGAAACAGCCAGATCTTTACTGTAAGTGTAACTTGCAGAATAAAAAGAGCTCAAATTTGTTCTTTCTTAATTTCTTTTGGTCATTTGTGTACTACTAAAAGCTGCCATTCAATTGTTTATAATGTTGTGCCGCCCCTTACTCTGCCACATCCTGCAGGAAGCTCCTGGTAAAGAAGTGATTGCAGATGTTTCCAGCACTGTAAACCAACTCTCCTCCAGGTCCTCGCAGTTCAGCCGTCTGTGGCTGGACCTCACTGTACTCGACCACCTGGGACACCCCTCGTACTCTGCAAACCACGCCGACCGGCTCTGTAGGGTACGCCTTCTCCACCACCTAAAGCAAGACAGAGGTGGACGAACAAGGAAGAATTAGGAGAAACCATTAGCATACTCATGTACAGCATATCATATCACATATGACATATCACTTGGCTATATGCAGTCTGCTCTAATGACTACACAGATACTCGTACTGGACACAGTTCTGTACGATTTATTGTAGCTGAAGGGTTGGACTGCTACTGAAGTAACTTCGTTTAACGTGAGAGTCCAAAGAAAATATTCATAAGAAACAAAAACGAAATTCAATTTCCACAAAATATAATCCTTCTATTGATTATATTCAATTACAATGTAAAAGACATCTTAATGTATTCTTTCATGTATACTGTGTGATGCTGTATTACTCCACCTTGGCCCCACAGTCAGCGCCCTTGCTCACACAGAAGCCAATAAACACAGGATCGGCCATCTTGACCAGAATGTTGTCCACGCAGTACACATGCAGGTACTTGACTCCCCTTTTCTTCATGTCCTCCAGCACCTTATTGTCCACCAGTGCCTGGTACAGACCTCCATTACCATCTGAAACCAAAGTTTAGATAACTCCACTCATATTTGTTTCTGATTCTTCTGTGTAACTTCATATGCACCCACCTGGTGCCATGGCTATCTTCCCTTTATCCTTCAAGATGACTTTTCCATCAAATGTCACAGCTGGAATCATTCTTTGCTCAAACATAACGATGTTTGTTGGTTCCAGTCCAAAATAGTTGTTCTCCTTAAAAAAAGTCTCAGTTGGAGCCAGAGTGAATTCACTGGTCATTATGTACCTGAAGAGCACAGAGGGTAGAGATTATACACCGTTACACACAGTCTGCAGCAGTGGAGGACTATTGTGGAACTCCTGTTTCGGGGGTTAAACTGAATGCAGCATTAGCAAAATCTATTTAAAAAAATGTTTTGAAAAATTAAAACTATTATCCATGTGAACGCTAAAGGAAGTGATGCAGAGTGGTATAGAGCCATTCTATTTAGTTGAGCACTGAAAATACTTTCTACTACAATCACGCACACTCTGATACGGTGCTTTTATTATTGTCTAAATGCTTTCTAACATTCACAAACATTCTCACACTCCGATGGATGCAGGGAAACCTGAGAATCAGTGTCTTGGCCAAGGACACTTTGGCAAGCAGACCTTTTGATTAGTAGATGACATTCTCAACCACATGAACCACAGCCACGTTTTCAAACCAATGTTAACTTAACAAATTACCCAATTCTCTTTTTTTTTTTACCTGATTTTTGTTTCTAAGAAAATTTGAGCCACATATGAGGATATTCGTTTAAAATTTCGATAGAACAGTAGCAGTATAATGCCCTCGTAAGTGGATAGTATTTTGGTCTAAATAACCCAAAATGTGATGTCAACATATGTGGACGCCAGGTCCTAGGAGGTTAATGTTGACTTTATTGAAAAAGTTAACATTACAAAAACTTATAGAAAGAGAAAATGCATCAGGGTTTTTACTTTGACTTTGAGTATATACTCTTACATTTTATCAGATTAGCAGAGCAAGAGGAACCTACCATGGAACAGTGCATTTAGAGCCATGTTTGCTGTCTGCAAGCTCTTGGATTTTGCGAATGCGTTCTGCCTGGATCTGATACAAAGTTTTGCCACTCGGCAGCCCAACATTGTACATTCCTTTAGGGTACTGAACACCAAGACGGGTCCCCTGACCACCAGCCAAGAGCAGGACTCCAACACAGTTCTCTGAGATTTCCAGCAGCCCTGTTATTGGGAAGAAAAAGCTAAAATGAGCAGAAGCACACACAAGGGAATTGTTTACTTCTATAACTGATACTTTCTATAAAAACATATTTTAATTTATAATTATATAACTATAACTGACTTATTACTCTATTCATAATTTTATAGAAGCGTTCTTCAGAGATTAATTTTGTGGAGCTTAGAAATTACTCAGTTTTATTTTCTGTCATAACCCAGCAGTGCTTACTCGTGACAATCACAGAGGACAGCAGTGAAGCAATGATAGCCCAGTGTCAGATCATTTCATGTCGTAGCTTTTAAAGTACTGCCAGGGCAAATGGCTCTGACTTGATTTGGATTTTTTTTAAAGTAATAATCAGAATAAACTTATATGTAAATTATATGTTTTTATATTATATGTATATTAAACATTTCTCTATAGAGTCCATTTAAGAGAGGATTTAAAAATCTCTCTAAATATGTAACCTCTCTTTTAAGGCCTAAAGTTATGTGTGCATCTGTCTGCATCTACAGGCAGTTGTAGCAGACTGCCATCTACTTGGCCAGGACTTAACTGTGTTTGTGCTCAAATACTGGAAGATTAAGGAATTAACAAATAATATGTCCTGTGATGTGTTAGCGCCACTGAAGGAGTTTGTGCTTCCTAACCAAGGTTGCTATTGTTAGCCCTTACCATTTCACCATCTCATCAAAATATAGTCAACAAAATGATTTAAATCTAAGCCTGAAAAAAAACCTCACAGTAGCTCACTATTCTGTAAAACCTCCCTTTCACTCTTGCTGCTCTCTTTCTGTCACAAATCGCCCCTGGGACTCGTCTCCACCCTGCCTGCACTTTTTTCTTCACCTCTCTTGTGCAACCAAAGTCTGTAGCTTCATTTTTAACTGATCTGTCACTGCTCTTGCACTGTCTCACTGTCTTCATTGCATGCCCTGCACCACTCTCACATGTCTGCCACTCTCGACTTCCTCATGCAGTATCACAGTTCCTCTCTTGGCACCCTGTCCTATGCTTTCTCTTGATCCACAAAGACACAGCAAAGCTCCTTCCAACCTTCTATGTACTTCTCCATCAGCACCCTCAAAGCAAACATCACATTTGTTCTGTTCTCCGATTGTCACCTCTCTTCTTAGCCTAGCTACTAAAACTCTTTCCTATATCTTCATTTTATGGCTTATTAGCTTTATTATAGATGCAGACATCAATTTGAATTTAAGATGATGTTGCTCATCAGATTAACTCACTGAATTTCAGGATTATAATGTAGACGAGTTGGAAATCCGCCATGTCCTCTCATGTAATATGTGCTTATATTTGGATTAACTGAGTTGTGGAAAGACGGTTAACCTCAGAGCAGCAGCAGCAAGTCTAAACTGATCATTGCCTATAGTCTACTCGGAAATCTACTGAAATTCACAAGAGAAATTGTTACAACTTGTTATTCTTTTCACCACAACTGATTTTAGCATTCTTACACCTTGTTAAATCCAATTTTATCTCCTAATCTAGTCCAGATAATCGGATAAGCCTTCTGTGCGCATGCTCAGGTTTCCATCTATAGTTGGTGGCCCAATCAGAAAATGCAAAAAAGTATATTCCATTAACCTTTCCATCATAAGAAAATGATATAATTTTACCATGCCCCCTCTTCCCCTTCTCTGCTAAGTCTGGTTATCACTCCTAACGCCAGGTAGCTGGTGGCTAAAGTGTTTCCAAAGTAATTTAAAACAATTATTTTTGTTCTGTGTACATATTTTAGTGATGGGTCGTTCGCGAACGAAATGGCTCTTAGAGC